TATATATATATATATATATATATATATATATATATAAAGGACACTTAAGTGTACTTAAAGAGTACACTTTCATGACTGTTTATTAACACTTAAAAAGTGCACTTTGTAATGTCAAATTAAAAGTTACTTTAAAGTGTAAAAATCATTGTTTTTAAGTACACTTATTTTTATGTTGACTCACTAAACCACATGTACTTAAAATTTGAACTGTAGTGTAATTCAATTACATTTAAAGTTAATATATTTTAAATGAACTAAATTGCAACTTCATCAATACAAATGTGTAATTATGAATATATTTAAATACATGACATACAAGTTTTAATAGAAACTACGTTAAAATATATTTTATTTTTCTATAAGTGCTTGTCAGTAAATTCGGCAGTACACTTAAATCATATTTCAAAGACGATAGAATAATATAAAAAAATTATAATTACATGTAAAATGTACTTAAGTCCTACTTAAGTGGGTCAAAAAAGCACTCTAAAGTTCATATAAATGTAATCTATATTACATTTGAATTTAATTGCAATTAACATGCAGGTGAACTCAAGTTCGCACTTAAGTATACTCTTTGAAAGTATATTATTTCCGTAATAATGATCTTTATAAATGTATACTAAATTGTACTTCTTTTTCACAAGGGTTGGTCAAACATATTTTTCTCATTACATTTTTTCTCAAAAATTTCTCTCAATATGAAAGTAAAATGGGTTGTGAATACACTTTAACGTAGACTCTTGGCCTGAATGTTATATATCCTTAAATTAGAATGCATAGATAACCCAGTGCAAAGGTAAGCTGCTAAGGCTTTAAATGGCTTAAATAACTAAGACCTTGGTACAGTACTATGGGGATCACTTTAGTAAGCTTGCCTGGAGGCTGTTTGTTGACTTTGAGGCATTGTTGGTTAGCTTGTGTCACTATTTAATTTGTTTCTTGTACTGCAAGGTATCAGGGGTCCTTTCGATTCATTGACTGAGGCTGTGTCCTTCCTCTGGGCTATGTCCTAATAACCCATGGCACCGCAGATCCTGTCAGCGACTGGTGCCAGAGACTCACCAGTGTCTGTAGACTGTGGCTTATTAAACCACTGTGCTTGTGGAACCCCAGTGTGGGAGACAATAGGAAGAAATCTGAACCAACTAATCAGCCAAATAGAATTTCCCTTCATTATTTGGTCTTTATTTATCCAAACTGAACTAAAGCATTGTGTGTGGGTGGTTAATATAGTTGCTTTATTCTCTCTAATTGTGAGATGCTGCGATTTTCACCTTCCCTTTTCCTGCCTGATACAGAAAATTCTGCATTAGTGTGTTTCTTTCCGGAAAGGCTTTCACTGATTGTCTCTTAAACAGTCGTATCCCATGATCATTGATTCAGTTCCTGTTTTATTCAATGATAGTTCTTAACTCACAATGACTAAATCAATATTTGCTCAAGTTGTTGCGGACTTACTACAATTAGCCTCATAGGAGCTGATTAATTACCGTCTTACACATTTATAATGAGATCTGTTTCAAAGGGAGGATTCTCTTTTCAGATCAAAGCCAAATGAGTCAACAGCTATATCCTCCTAATGAACTAAAAAGACAAAGCATTGGGATTCATGTAAACGATTAACATATGAGGGTGTTTCTTCAAGTTTGGTGGCAAAACATTGGAGATAATTGTTTCTCCCGGCCCCTCCTCCTCAGACTCAATTCTCACAAGAGCAACGGGAATGAGTGCAATTGACAATGGAAGGCGATGATCTTTAGACTGTAAGTCGACGAGTTGATTTAACCGTGTTTTAATATGCCTCTGGTCATAGAGATTTTTAGATGAATGTCGAGGCTTTTTAGGTTGGGTAGAATCTGCGATCTCTGATCCAGTTTGTTTGCTAGCTTCCATGGCTGTTTTCCACTAACTGGCAAACTGAGGTGCCGAAATA